TTTCTTTCTTTCTTTCTTTCTTTCTTTCTTTCTTTCTTTCTTTCTTTCTTTCTTCCTCTCTCTCTCTTTCCTTTTCTTCTTTCCTTCTTTCCTTCCTTTCTTTCTTTTTGGAACTGGGAATCGAACTCAGGACCTTACACTTGCCAGGCAGGGTCTGTGCCACTGAGCTATATCCCTGGCCCCATGCCTTGTTTTCTTATCACAGTCTCCCACACTTGTTTCTTTTTTAACTCATCTTATCCATCACTTTCAGTTTGAAAATGCTAATACTTCTGTCTCTTTGGCAAGTTTTTGGTACAAACATACACTGTTAAGGATGAGAGAAGCTTGTGAGACTTCTAGATACCATTTTCCAAGGCTGTGACAGCCCAGGACAGCTGTGAACCCCAACCTCACTCCTGGGTAACATGCTTCAATGGCACCAAGCAGTTTTAGAGACTCAGAGATCCACATAGGCTCCCTGACATCTCCAAATGCTTAATGATTTTTGCATTCTCATAACGACCCTGGGATAAAGGCAGCTGGGAATTAGTAACCTCTATCTACAGATAAGGAAACTTGGATCCAGGAATATTCAGTATAGATGAGTGAAGGGCAGCAACGGACCAAACCGCGTGGCCAGGTTCTGGGCCAGAAAGATCTTTTGCCCCCACTCTGGTGGCCGCCCCTAGAGGCCAGTAGCTAGAATGGCCAAGGTTTTTAGGTACCTTTCTCAGCCGTTCCCTGTGTCAGGACCATCAGTTCCAGCAAATCAGGTTCCTGCATACTCCCTGTAGGAGGCTGTTGCAAGGTTCCAGGACCCAGGTGGGCGGGCTTACTCACCAGACATGCAGGTACATTCCCCGGGGTCCATGGTCCAGGTGTGTGAATGGTTCTGTGTGTGAAGACTGAGGAAGGGAGGTTGAGGAACAGCCACAAACTTCCTATTTATAGCCGTGTAGGTGTGGACTGCAACTCACCCCACCTCTCCCTGGGGCCAGACGCCCTGCACACGGCCCAGCCAGACGCTGTAGACTGGGGGTTGGGTTGAGCAGGCAGAGAGATGGAGTAGTCATTTGAGTGGCTTGTCACAAAGGGATACACCTTAGCGGTGGAGTGGGTATCAAGGAACCAGGCTCAGGCTCAAGTTGGCAGCTGTGTGCATCTGGTCTCCAAGTCCTATCTGCTCTTCTATTATCTACCATTTCTGTTCCCTCCTTCTTCGGGGCTACTCCTGCCATGGTTCAGAGCCTCATTCTTTCTCCCCCGGTTGACTCTAAAAGTCCTTTTTGGGTGAGAGGGTAGAAAATCGGGGGCATGTTCTCCCCTGGAGTTTGCAACCTCTCCTAGAACACACATGGAATGGCAGGAGCAAGAGAGGACTTGGGGGATCTAACTCCTAAACTCCATCACTATGCTATTCTTTAATAAAGGCAACTGCTGCGTACCTTTCCAGTTTATGGAAAGTGGGGCTCCAAATGTACCCACAAGCTGCTGTTCTTACCCACTCTCAATGCAGAAATTCTGGGGCCCCTGCTGAATGTGCTTCCTCCAGAAAGCTACCTCTGATCTCTTCCTCTCTGGGCTGGAAGAAATCTACATCCCCTCTGGGCACTTCTCATGCCATTTACTCATTTCTACTCTGCTGTGTGATCGTTTAACACAAGGCTAAGCAGGTAGGCAGGCTCTTACCCACCCATCCCAAAGTGGGAGGTCGCAGGGGAAAGACCAGTGTCTGAAGCATCTCTCCGCCTGCTCAGGGTTCTGCACAATGGTTAGTGCATGTTGACTGAATGAATCCAGTGAATACCAGGATGACAGCAGACGTGAGCCAGGGTGAATGAATGAGTGGAAATGAGGGATGGACAAATGCATGGATCTTCTGCATGTGGCTGTACTGAAGACATCTGCTGGGAAGTGTCACCATTCAGAAAAGGCAAAAAATGGGGCCAGACCATAACAGGTAGATACAATTCCTCCCAGTTCTCAGCTTGTGTTCCCCATTAGTCATCCATAAGGACCATCTGGGCCTCAATCTGGTGGAACCATGGACGTGTGCGCATGTGTGTGTGTGCGTGTGTGTGTGTGTGTGTGTGTGTGTGTCACTGGGGACTGAACCCAGGGCACTGAGCTGTATCCCCAGCTCTTTCTTATTTTTATTTTGAGACGGTCTCTTTAAGTCACTAAGTTGCCCGGGCTGAGCTCAAACTTGCAGTGCTTCTGCCTCCCAAAGTGCCGAAATTATAGGCAGACCTCACTGCACTCAGCTGGAACCACAGATTTGAGCCAAGAAATTCTAGTGAGAAAGGATTTGGCACCATTGTCATCAGAAGGGCACTGGGACAGACACTAGGGAAGCAGAGGTAGAGGCAAGATTGTAGTAACTCAGGAATGGTCCCTGACCTAAAGGTGTTCACAGTTTAGTAAAGAAGTTGAGTTATCCTTCACCTTCCCAGGGTCCCCAGCATAGATGCTGAAATTACTGATGCCTTGTTGTCTTGTCACATGCTTGGATACAGGTGGCAGCCATCAAGTTATCACACATTTCCAGTCTCTGAGGGTGACACTCCAGATGACCTCGGGATCATTCTCATCTCATTAAAGTGGTAAAAACACACCCACTGGTGCCACAACAGATCAGACTATGGCCAAACTAAGGAAGAAGAGAGGTAGCTCCCTGATTTCTGGAAATCTCCTCTCTTTCCATGAAAATTGCCTGTGACAGCATGCACACTGCACTGGTTCCTAACCCAGTCTAATAAAAACCCAGACCCTAGACCAGCCCAGAGAGAAGGTGCTTTGAGAACTGAGCTCCCCTTATCCATGCATTGGCATTTAATAAAATGTTCTGTCTGCTCCCAGGACTGTTTGGTGATTTGTGAACAGTACTGAGCAGAAAAAACCTGCAAATTCAGTCATGCTAGCACCAGACACTGTGCAGGGTTCGAAGGAGCCAGTGATGGGTAAAAACAAAGCCACCTGAAAGTCAGGAGCAAATCTCAGTCAGGAAACCCATGGTGGGGCTTCTCCAAAAGTCCAGAGTCTGTCACCAGCTGGTATGAATCTTTGCTTCTTTGGTAATAGAAGTGAAAACTGCGGTGAAAGCATGAATCTACAGGCAAAAGTTTTAATTGGAAAGTAAGAGAAAACAGGGAAGGGACTTTATCTTGCAGAGGAGAACTGGAGGATAGCCACGCGTGGTGGCACGTGCCTGTAATCCCAGCACTTGCCAGGCTGAGGCAGGAGGATTGCTGTGAGTTCAAGACCAACTTGGGCTACACAGTGAGTTCAAGCCCAGCCTGAACTGCAGAGTGAGACCCTGTCTCAAAAAGTCTCAAAAAAAAAAAAAAAAAAGAGAGAAAAGAACTGGAGGAGGCACAGCCCCAACCAAAATCACACTGTCTGTTAAAGGAAGGAAGCCAGGCTTTATGGGATTGCTGAGACCGGCTTGGATCTGGTTGACTACCTACCTCTGATTTTGCAATTCTAGAGAAATCCTAATGCCTTACAGGGCAATCCCATTGTCATGACATGATTGCTCCAGTGAAGGGACAGGGTGTGTGTGTGGAGGGGGGGTCAATTTTGCAGAGTCTCTGCCAATATCCAAGGATCCAAGGTGGCTGCCGGTTCGGGACATCATTGGGAGGCTTCTGGGTGTGCATTCCAAGGGGTCTGGTGCAGGCTGTTGTAAAAGCTGATTGCTGAAGTTTCCTGCAAATCTCTTGTCTTGGTGTCCTCAATCTTGAAGAGTGTGAGATAGGTTAGATAAATTTAAGGTTAGTAACCCTTATATTACCAGTTTTCAGGCACTCCCTAAATGACTAACCTGCTTAAGTGCACACCTGAGTAAGGAGAGTAAGAATCTGACTCAAAGTTTTTGTTTTGTTTTGTTTTGTTTTTGGTTTGGTTTTAAGACAGAGTGTCACCATGCAGTCCTGGCTGACCTTGAACTCACTATGTAGCCAAGGCCAAGCTCAAACTTGTCATCCTCTTGCCTCACTCCCCCGCTCCCCGCCCCCTACCAAGTGCTGGGATAAGAGATGTGTGCCACACATACCTCCTGCCTGATTCAAAGTTTTAAGATAATAAAGTTGACAGATACAGATGAAGAAGAGATCTCAAGCTTTGTGCTGATTTTAGTAACTCATCGGGCATCTGTACCCCAAAGTAGAGTCATTTTTTCCTCCACTGGAGATTGAATTCAGGACTAGCCTCATCCCCAACAGCCCTCCTCCCCGCTTCTTAAAATTTTGATACAGGGTCCTGCTTAGTTACTATGTTGCCCAAGTTAGGTTTAAGCTTGCAGTCCTCCTGCCTCAGCCTCCCAGAGTGCCCAGATTACAGGGATGAGCCATAATACTGGCACGTTACTATTTTTTGCTTAGTTCTTTGCTTGTTTTTTGTTTTGTTTTGTTTTGTTTTTAAACAAAAGCAGCTTTTAAGTTCCTGTCTACTTCAGAATAAAAGACAAATCATGCTTTTAATGAGTAACAGGTTAAGGGCCTGTGTGTTTGCCTGACCTCTGTCCCTCTGGTGATCCCAACAATTTTATTCTTTCATCAAGTTTATTCTTGGAGACACGATGGCAAAGGCCCTGTTTGGGAGAGTGAGGGGGTGGGGAAGAACATAAACCATACTTTGAAAGAGTAACAGATCCTGAGTTAAGTCTTAAGAGTGTACCTGCCCTTTGTCCTCACGGTGTCTCTGATGGTCTAGTTCTAGCAAGGACAGGCCCAACCAAGTGAGCCCGGAGAGAGGCAGGGATTGTTTTTCAGCCTATCTGAGCCATCATCCTCCCTCCTCACTGCCTCTGCCAGCATTGTCTTCCTCCTTGGAAGAGTTACAGTGTGACATTAAGCCCCCAGTTGAATGAAAATCAAAATCCTATCCCTTCTTATTCACATATTTCTCAATTTCTGACCTCTGAAGATTGAAACAAACATATGCCACACTGTCCAGGCCAGCCCAGCTTGAGCAGTGCCAGGGACAGTCCAGTTCTTTTTTAAGTTCTTCTCCTAGACCCTGGGAAGGAGCGGCCATGAGCCCACCTGGCTGTTCCGATTCTTAGCTCCTGAACTCTGGCCAGCAGCATGAAATCAGGAACACACACGCCACACACGCCGTGCAAAGGCTGGCAAGCACAGCTTAAACCCACACTTAGAAAATAAGCACTTTGGGGAAAAAAGGGTACCAAAAATTATCAAAATGTGTAGCTATTATTATTATTACAATGTATTATTAATTATTGTGTATACTAATAAAATAAAAGAAATAAATATTTCTTTGGGGAAGTGACCATTTAGCCTTCTTGGGGGATTCCAAGAGTCTCTTGAAATCCTGATGAAAGCTCTTGACCCCGTTTGTGGGGTGGTGGGATACACACACAAGTTCAAGGCTTGAGTGTAATCACCATTGCTCAGGGCCGTGGTGTCGAAAGATGTTCCTTTTTGTGATGGACGTGGACCGGCAGGTGGCGTGGTCAACTCTTCCCAGAGCTGTTGATTGTCCTGCACCTGGCGCCATCGTCCTGTGCTCCCCACCCCAGCCTTGTACTTGGCGAGCTTGCGGGAGGTCAGCTTCGCTCAGGAGCTGCTGGGCTGTGCTCGCGGCTGGGGTCGTCATCTGCATACGTGTCCTGGCCTTGTGACAGGGCTGTGCTTGAGCTGCTGAGGAAGCACAGGTGGGATGGAAGAAACACACCACCAGCTCCAGTGGGCGAGAGGCCAAGCTCTTGGGTCATTTCTTCCATGATGAACACGTCACATGCCGAGCCTAGCACAGTCTGTCTCAAGGGCTAAGACTGCAAAGGGGACAGACACAGCACAAAGACAGGGATGCTGAGCCTTCGTCCCACTTTAGTGACCCATCAGACACCTCCACGCCCAAGGAAGAGTCACTGTTCTCAAGAAAAGTGGCCTTTAC